TACTTAAAATATATGAGGCCTTTCTTGAGCAAAAATTAACTTTCTCTCTGCAGTTTAATTTTTTTATATATATTCTTATTGTAATTCTCATTGTAAAATACCTAAATAGTGGCTTGGTGCCTGTAACATAGTGGTTATGGCGCCAGCTACATATACCATGGATGACCGGTTTGAAACTGGCCTGGGTCAGCTAAACATAACAACTGCAACAAAAAATAGCCAGGTGTTGTGGCAGGCGCCTGTAGTCCTAGCTTCTTGGGAGGCTGAGGCAAGAGATCACTTAAGCCAAAGAGTTTGAGGTTGCTGTGAGCTGTGACACCACAGCACTCTAATGAGGGCAACATTGTGAGATTCTGTCTCAAAAAAAAAAACAGGTAACAGAGAAATAGTACAGAGAAAGTAAATCCCTCTCCCCACCCAATCCAGCCCTCTTCTAGAGAGTACTACTGCAAATACAGTTCAGTGTGAATTCTGCTTTTTTTCTTAATGAGGTAAACATATAACATAAAATTAACTGTTTTAAAGGGCACAGTTCAAGCCCAGCTGCTTGAGAGGCTGAGGAGGTTATGATTGCTTGGGCCCAGAAATTCTAGACTAGCTTGGAGAATAGGCTAGTTTTGAGACCCTGTCTCAAAAAAAAAAGGTAACAAAAAGTTTACATTTCAGTGGCATCTAGTATATTCACAATGTTGTGCAGCCATCACCTAAATTCTTCTTTTATAGAAAGAATTCTATAAAACTTAGAGGACTATGTATTTTTATTTTTATCTTTATATAAACGCTATCACAATGTGTGTATGTATGTATGTTTTATAACTTTTTTCATTTTATAAGTTAATAAAGATAAACTTCATCTTTAATTTTTTTAAATTTTATTTTATTTTTCTTACATATACATATGTATATTAGGTTTCCACTTTTGCCTTCACAGAATTAAAAGGCTAAAATTAATATAATAATAATATAATAATAATATAATATTATACAATATTAATAATAATAATATTATTTAACATAAGGACTGAGAACAAAAACCTCATAAAGAATGAAAGAAGATAAATACATTCAGAAAAAAAATCAGACGATTGCTACAATGAATAATAGTAATAGTGCAAAGAAAGTAACATTCACATTGTCGGATAGAAGTATGTCTATTATAGAATACTTTGATCAGTTAACTACTTCTTATTTTGTTTTTTCCAAAGTCTCAAAAAAAAGACAACTAATATTTATAAATAAAAGATAATTTCATAAAAAACAGATTATACCAAATCTTATAGACAATAGAAAAAGAAATACTTCAAAATCATTCTACTTAATCTGGATACACCTGATATTAAAATTGGAGAAAATATATCATTGTAAAAGGGAAATTACAAACATAATTCACTTATAAATGAGGATGCAATGTGATAAACAACATATTAACATGTTGATTTAATATCTTTAATTTTTATTTATTTATTTTTGAGACAGTATTACTCTGTCGCCCTTGGTAGAGTGCCTTGGCATCATAACTCACTGCAATCTCAGGCTCCTGGGCTCAAGCAGTTTCTTGCCTCAGCCTCCTAAGGAGCTGAGATTACAGGCACCTGCCACAATACCCAGCTATTTTTTAGAGATGGGGGTCTTGCTCTAGCTCAAGCTGGTCTCGAACTCATGAGCTCAGGTGATCCACCTGCCTCGGTCTCCCAGAGTGCTGGGATTATAGGTGTGAGCCACTGTGTCCAGCCCTTAACTTCATGTTTTTAACATTAAAAAATTATTTTTAGAGATAAGATTTTGCTGTTACCTTTTACAAAATCTTTTTATTTGGCTTGGCATCCACAGCTCAATAGTTAGGGCGCTGGCTACATACACGGGGCTGGCAGGTTCGAACCTAGCCTGGGCCTGCTGAACAATGACAACAACAAAAAAATAGCCAGGCGTTGTGGCAGGTGTGCCTGTAGTCCCAGCTACTTGGGAGGCTGAGGCAAGAGAATTGCTTGAGCCCAAGAGTTTGAGATTGCTGTGAGCTGTGGCGCCATGGCAGTCTACTGAGGGTGACATAGTGAGACTCTGTCTCAGAAAGAAAAAGTCTTTATATTTAAAAAATTTTTTTCTTTAAAAAATTTTTTTAGCGTCAAGGTCTTCCTTGCTCTGTTGCCTAGGCTTAGAGTGCTGTGGCATGACCATAGCTCACTGTAGCCTTGAACTCCTGGACTCAAGTGATCCTCCTGCCTTAGCCTCCCACTGGGACTACAGATACCCACCACAATGGCCAGCTAATTTTAAAATATTTTTATAGAGACAGTATCTCACTAAGTTGCCCAGGCTGGTCTCAAACTCCTAGACCAGGGGTCCTCAAACTTTTTAAACAGGGGGCCAGTTCACTGTCCCTCAGACCGTTGGAGGGCTGGACTGCGGGCCCTGGGATGAATCAGCTGCTAAGCAAGACAGGCAGCAGCGGCAAAAACACCTGGCAGGCCGCATGTGGCCCACGGGCCATAGTTTGAGGATGCCTATCATAGACTCTGGTGACCCTCCTACCGTGGCCTCCTGAAGTGTGTGAACCACTATGCCTAGCCACATTACTTCTCTTTTTTTTCTTTTGAAACAGAGTCTTACTATGTTGCCCTTGGTAGAGCACCGTGGGGTCACAGCTCACAGCAACCTCAAACTCTTGGACTTAAGTGATTCTCTTGCCTTAGCCTTCCAAGTAGCTGGGACTACTTGTGCCCACCAGAACACCCAGCTATTTTGTTGTAGTTGTTATTGTTGTTTAGCAGGCCCAGGCCGGGTTAGAACCCGCCAGTCCTGGTGTATGTGGCCATTATTACTTTTTAGAAGTGTTTTGCTATTTTTTGTAGCCTCTATATAAAGTCTCTGCTATGTTGTAAAACTAAGTTGGCCCTGGGCTAAAGTGCCCCAGGTTTATGTCTTTTCAGTGTAGCATTCTAATTCATAAATAGCCTTTTAACTAAGCTCTAAATTTATTTCTTTAAAATCATTCCAACTGAGATTTCACTAGTTTAAGCAGGCCTCATACCCATATCCTGAACTCACTGTCATGTAAGGTGGGGGACAAGGGGAAGAGCCAAGTCAGAAGCACTTGCCAGGGCAGATGCCAGTGCTATCAGGCTTGCCGTGCACTGAAGCCTGCTTCTGTGTGCTCCACATCACGCAGAAACATATCACCCCTACATTTACACATTTAAGTGGGCAGAAAGTGCCAGGGATCACGGCATGTTTCTACTAAAAAGTAGCTGAGGGCAGCTTGGTATTCTTGTGTAGATGGTCCTCAGTTGAATCGGCTCCTCCAAGTGGTCAATTCTGCCTATATTCGCTCCTCCTGTTAAGATGCTGCCGAGGACATGGACGTGAGTGCTCTGGTGTTCCCTTACCCCTTTGCAACTTGAGTCAGAGGTTGCTAAGAAGGTGGTTCTTTGGCAATATCTGAACATTGTATTTGTGTGAACAGTATTGGGTGAAATGACCTCAGATTGGATATTTTGCTGTATTGCTGGCAGCACCATACCAGAGAGGAGCAGACACTGTCGGAGCTGACCGCTCAGAGGGGCCGATTCAACTGTGGACTGTCTACACAACAATACCACCTCCTCAGGTTGTCAGCCATTCCCAAGGGTTATCTTTGGTGTCCATTTTAAAAGTGCTTTGCTTCTACTTTGCCTGAAATAATAATTTGGCTATCTGACTTACCAGGGGAGTGAATGTTTGCCCTATGGGAAGAAATAATGTGTGTTCACGGTCTCTTAATAGGCGGTTCGTCTTTCTACATGGATAGGATTTTGTGGCTGGCCAAATATACTTCATCATCATTTTCATCATTCTTAGTTCAACTTTTTCAAGTGGTTTTAATGAAGCTCAATTATGAATCAGAAAATTATAAATTGAAAACTGATGAATCAAAAGATTGTGAATCAAAAAGTTATAAATCAAAAAGCCATGAAGTGAAAGGTATTTAAATAAGTTTTTTCTTCCTTTTCCACCAAATAATGCTTTCAAGGTGGAGAAAACACTGTGCTTTTGCTTCCACGGCGCTTCCTTCACTTTTCTCCTCTTTTCATCCCGATGCTGACTTCCTCCTGGCTGCTTTCTTTGGATCTTTTTATTTTGGGACCTTATGAAAGTTTTAATGTATCCTGTATATAGTTCAGGTTTCTGAAAGTTGATCAGTGTTTTAACATTTTTAAAGTTATTTTTAAATGAAATGTTAATATGTTCAAGTCCTGGTTTTTATTACTTTTTAAAAGCAAAACCAGTTTATTTTAATGGTATTTAGAATCATGTTGTTTCAAAAAAATTTAGAGTTGGCCAATCTTCATATTGTATTAGCTGCAAAAATTATTTAGCCAGATGGGGCTTTCAAATCTCTTCTCATAACCAAAGTCCTGTCCCCTGCACTCACCTACATCAGCTGTTCTGAACCTCTGGCAGTGGCCATCCTGGCATGTTCTCTGATCACGCTGGCTTCATTGGGGTGTAAGGAGCATCAGGCTCAGCATTGCTGAGTTTTCTAAGCTTCTTTTGCGTGTATTACAGCTCATCCCAGTTACTGTGGGAGAATGAATGTAAGAGAGTTTCTCAGAGAGGATGGCCACCTCAATGTAAACGGGGGCTCACTGTGTAAGTATGCTTCATTTCACATGGGGAATAGTTGGTCTTGGAATTGGTCCTCCTAAGTTGCAATGTTGGGCCCCTGGGAGTAGAGGATGAGCACCCTGTCACACAGGCACCCTCACTGGCCAGGCTGGGCTGCAGCGCTGGTGCTGAGGCACCTTAATAATAGAAGCTAACAACCAACAGACTATTTGCTTTGGTATATTTATTTCTGGCATGTAATTTGAGTTTCTTCATTTTTCAATCTAGTGTTGTGCAGTTGAGATTGGCGGGTTTGTCTATTGATCTGTCACATTAACTGCTCTCACCACACCCCCACAGGCGGTGACTGTAAGGGGAAGAAGCACCTGGAAACACACACGGCCACCCATCCACAGTGTCCACGGCCGCCAGGGCTGGCAGGGGCCCTCGGGCACGTCTGTGCTTGTGCAGGTTGTCTCCCATGCCCTGTCTGCTCACCATGCTCCTCTGCACTGCTTGCTCTTCCTTGCTTGGTTTGTGTTGGAATTCAAGTGCTCTAAAGCCTTGCTGGAAAAACTAATAGGAACTTTAAAACATGGAGAATCTCTCTTTTGAACAGCTTCTTTGTAACTTTATTTGGTATAAATTAAATATATGAAAAGCAATTTATTTGAGGTGCTATGAAAAGTTTGGAAAGGCAGGTTACTAATTACCCTCCTGTGTGGGAATATTATTTTACAAGAAGCTGCCTAGCTCGGTCCTGTGGCTGAGAATACTACATTCTACACTGCTTTAGAGCTTTCTGTCTGCGTATCTTGCGGTTTGTGATGAGGGAATTTATGTTAAAATGTTAGATGTTCCAGTCCATGCCTGAAGCTTTCTTGATAGAGGGACATCCCTTTAGGTATATTCCCCCTCGCCCCTTAAAGTTGTGCTTCAAAAATAATTTTCTTGCCAGGCACGGTTACTCACGCCTGTACTCCTAGCACTCTGGGAGGCCAAAGCAGGTGGATAGCTTGAGCTTCAGGAGTTCAAGAGCAGCCTGAGCAAGAGCAAGATCCTGTTTCTAAAAATTATGTGGGTGCTGTGGTGGGTGCTTGTAGTCTGAGCTATTTGGGAGGCTAAGGCAAGGTGATCACTTGAGCCCAAGAGTTTGAGGTTGCTATTATGAGCTATGATGCCACAGCACTCTACTTAGGGTGACAAAATGAGACACTGTCTCCAAATAAAATTGTCTCTAATTAATAAACATAAACTAATTAATTAAAAATGATCGGGCAGCGCCTGTGGCTCAAAGGAGTAGGGCGCCAGCCCCATATACCAGAGGTAGTGGGTTCAAACCTGGCCCTGGCCAAAAAATTAAAAAAAAAAAAAAAATCCACTGGCACCCTATCTCTTTGCACATCAGTCACATTGGAATTACTTATACTGTCGGTGTGAACATGCAAATTGTTGTCAATGTGAATATATAACTTTCAGCAATTACTCTTGAAAAAAATGGAACAAAATTGATTTCATAAGCAGTTTTCTGCCTGTATAATGTGCTCTGATATCAAGTTTATTGTATTCTGTCATCAAATGGTACTACCAGTTATGATTCCAAAGTGTTTTTCTACCGGGAAATGTTAGCTTTTAGAATAATTTTAATTTTGGCCTTTGAATAATCATTTTCTCACCTAAAACATGTGAACTGCTGGTCTGTGAATTTCAATTTGCTTTAAAATGTTGTATTATCTTTTCAATATAAATTCTGTTGACACCAGCTGCCAGCATTTACAGGATAGCTTCTCACTACCAACCAACCCTCCCTTGGGGTTTTTTTGGCTTTTTTTTTTTTTTTAGATGAAGTCTCAAGTGGTCACCCTGGGTAGAGTGCTGTGGCATCATAGCTCACAGTAATCTTGAACTCTTGGGCTCAAACAATCCTCTTGCCTCAGTTTTTCTATTTTTAGGAGAGATAGGGTTTTGCTTTTGCTCAGGCTGGTCTCAAACTTGTGAGCTCCAGCCATCTACCCGCCTTGGCCTCCCAGGGTGCTAGGATTACAGGAGTGAGCCATTGCGCCTGGCCTTCTCCCTTGGGTTGTATAAGGGGAATCTACATTTTGCATTTTAAGTATCTGCAGGCAGAAGAGAATGAAAACTATTGAAAACCCCCAGAGTTTTCAGAAGTTAATTTTAGTGAGCATGTTGTGTAGACTTAAATGTTTTTTTTGTTCTTTTCTTTTTCTTGAGAAGAGATTCTTGACTTACTAATGTGAGAGAGTCTGGGTAATATATATAACCTAGGAGTTTTTTGTTGCGTTGTCAGTGTGCGAATAGGTTCTCTGGTATCTGGGTCTGAGTGTGCCTACTGCATACTTCTTCTCTGCCACAGGTTACTTCTTGATGCAAACACTGCGAAGGATTGGAGCTGCGGGATGGTTTATGTCCAGGATGGTGTGGTCAGTCCTTTGGTTGGCCATTGTGGCTCCAGGTGGTTATTTTGGATTTCCGTGTTAGCATTCTCTCCAAAGCTTTTGGCAGTTAAGCACCTGCAATAAATGATTTACCTAACCAAATAAGGATTTCATTTTAGGTTTCCATGCTTTGATCATTGATGTAACATGTTTCATTCTTTATTATTTAGAAATGCTAACATGCTGTATGTTTGGTTGCATGAACATTCTTTGCTTCTCTTGGTGTGTTGGGTTTTGTGTGAGTCTAATGGCTTGATTTTAATGTGACTGGCAATGCATAAATTTGATGTCTCCTTTCATACCTTGTTTTGTGTATTTATTAGCTTGCTGTTCTTGCTGTGGTGACTAGCCTCATCTTAATGTGATTCATTTCTAACTTCATCTTTTAGTAAATTTCCTTGGCTTCTAGCTTGGCCTTCACAAAAACAGCCCATTTAAAAGGTTGATTTTGATAAGAACATTTCCTTAGAATGTTTGGTATCTTCTCTTTTAGGGAAGGCAGCCTCTGGACTGTTCTGGTGGCTAGGGGTTGGATGGTACCAGTTTGTTACTCTGATTTCTTGGCTGAATGTGTTTCTTCTTACAAGGTAAGGAAAGTGATATGTCAACTTGTGGTGTTTTAAAGAACCGTTTTTGTGCCAGTGGCAGGCTATCATTTGATTTATTATTTTATATTATTTACCTTATATTTACGTAGTTTTATATTTTATAAATTGCTTTCCTATACTTAATTTTTTTTTTCTTTTTTTTGCAGTTTTTGGCTGGGGCTGGGTTTGAACCGCCACCTCTGGTATATGGGGCCTGTGCCCTACTCCTTTGAGCCACAGGCGTTGCCTTTTTTTTTTTTCTTTTTTTTTTTTTTGAGACAGAGTCTCACTATGTTACTCAGGCTAGTCTGGAACTCCTAGAC